CCCACCCTACCTCCAACCCAACCCCAACCCGACCCCAAAACACAACCCGACCAACCAACTGACCAAATCCACCTTACCCCACCCAACCCAACTCAACCCAAAACGCAAACCTTACCCGACCGACCGACCGACCAACCGCGCCACGGCAGCGACGGGATGAAGATTGTTTGAAAAGAATGCCAGACGGATGGACGGGTCTTTCTTCCCGATGAAATCTTCTTCTGTTTTCACGGCAAGAACACCCCGCACAGTATACACATACATGTATGTGTTTACTGTCTTGAATTACTTTTCAACACGATGAACGGTGCATCCACCGTGACTTTTTCCTTGTTTCGTAGCCAGAAACGGCCTAGCCGGGGTTGTTGTTGTTGTAACTGCTGTGCGATTTCTCTCCATATGTCCTTTTTTGTGGGAGGCATGGTGTGCTGTGTAGATTGGCAGGTAAAGACAAGAGAACGGATCTCTTCCTGCATCAATTCATTGCCTGCAGATCTTTCGGCGCATCTTTCAAGTTTTCAAAACATGAACTCTTGCTGTGTAGTCTAGCCAACGCGACCTCGTGGCTCTGCTGTTGTGTAATTCAACTGCTGTGTGAATCCTCTCTTTGATTTGGCAGGAATAAATACACGCCTGTAGAAAGAATCCGTCGGGAAGTCACACCCACACCACCTATCTGTACATTTCTCCTGACAAACAGCAAACCACGTATTGTGGACGAAGGGAACGAGATAATTCAGAACACGCAGGCAGAGGGACAGAGCACGCTGCTTCGTAGCACCTTTCTCTGCGAACTGCTGTGCATACGTTGCATATACGTACGTACACATACGCGGATGGATTCCACTTTCTCTTTTTCGGGGAGAGTGGAGCGTGCTCCCCATCCTGTGACTGCTACTGCTGTATCACTCATGCACCACAACCGCGGCCGCTCTCGGCGCGAGACACGGCGTGCCGCACCTTGCGTGCCTCGGTCTCCCTCCGCGCGAAAGGAGAGCGCTGGATTGGTAGCCGAGAGGATGTTTCATAACAGACCACACAGCAGCACAGCAGTACTCCCCCACAACCGATCTGACCTCTTTTTTTCTGTGCCGCAAAGCCGGGCGCGCCACCACCTCGCCACTCTCACCGCGCCACGACCGCGGCCGCGCTGGGCGCGAGACGTGGCGTGCAGCACCTGTTGTGCCTCGGTCTCCCTCTACGCGATAGGAAAGCACTGGAATTGTAGCCGTGAGGTTGTTCAAAAACAGACTTCACAGCAGCACAGCAGCACTCCCTCCAAAACCGAATTGACGTTGTTTTTGTGTGCCGCAGCCGGTTGCATCGCCACCTCCGCAGGCTCATCGCGCCACGACCGCGGCCGCGATGTGCGCGAGACGCGGCGGGCAGCACCTTTTCTGTATCGGCCTCCCCTCCACGCGAAAGGAAGGCGCTGGAATCGTAACCATGAGGTAGTTCTAAAACAAGACCGCAGCAGCGTGAGGTAGTTGTAAAACAGACCCCGCAGCAGCACAGCAGCACTCCCCCAAAACCGATTTGACCTGTTTTTTGTGTACCGCAGACAGTTGCGCCGCCACCTCCTCAAGCTCACTGCGCCACGATTGCGGCCGCGATGGGCGCGAAACACAGCGCGCAGCATCTTGTGTGCCTCGGTTTCCCTCCTCGCGAAAGAGCCGGAGGCTGAAACACATCACAGCGCGTTTTTGAGAACGGACCACAACTACTACTACTACAAGGGTTTCGGCGGCTTCCGCCGCCACGCTTCAGAGAAGAAGCGATTCCAAGATACTTGTTTTTGTGCTGAAGACACGTTTTTGTCCTAGAAACACGACTGATGAGACGTGGTCATCGAGTAAATGATGTTAATGTCACTCACGTGCTTCTCCCGACGTTCATGTGTTTTGGCATGACCGGCTGCATGCAAACAATGTCGCAGCTTTTCACCGGTCCCGAGAGGAATTTGTCACGTGATGTTTGCGTGTGATGTGCGTTTCCCGATGTTGGTGAGATGAGTTTCTAGCGTGAACCATGGCTGAAACAAATGAAAAAGAACCTCGAACCGAACGAGAATCTGATTGACGGGCTATGCCAGGGACACCCCCAGTAACAAATCGTCAAAAGTTACGAAACGACGGGTGGCTACACAACAAAAGTTAAGTATACCCCGAATTGGGCGCAGCAGGGTTGAGGACGCCGAGGCAGGGGATCCCGGGAGTGATGGCCACTATTAATAGTGTAGATAGGTAGTGCAGGGAGATGCCAGTGACAGCACGGCAATCTTGTACCAACAGCCGTTCTTTGCGTAATTCGCGAACCGCCAAAGGTCGCGCAGCAACGGTCACGTCAGCCCCGTCACAATCGGCGTGTACACACTTCCCGAGGACTTCGCCAAGTACGTAGTCGGGAGTTTTGCGCTTGGCGCTACTGCCAGGAGAGGCAACCGTCTGAAAGATGTTTGTTGCGCCTTTCCAACATCTACGAAAGAGAAGGGCAGGAGAGACACTCAACGGATGGGTAAGAGTGTGATGTGGGAAAGCTTGAGCCGTGAGGAGCGTGTGCGTGCAACCGAACGTGTGCGGGCGGCGTCGAGAAGCAGCGTCACCCATGGTTGTCATATCTTGGGATTGATATCTTGCGATTGCACAGGCGACGACCTGACGACTCAAGATCGAAAAAACTCCGCTTCTCCGTGCATTCCTGCGTGTGCGTACACATGGATCCACTGAGCTATATCTGGCCCGCGCAGCGGATGACTGCAGACACATCAAAGACTCAAATCCTGTATGTGCGTACACATATATTGCAGTATGTGCGAACACATGACTTTGCTGTGTGGATTCGACTGTGTGAGCGCACACATGAATCCCGTGTGTGCGTACTGAGCTATATTGGATGACTGCAGACTACAAAATTGCTGATTGAAACGAGAAGATTGTCATCGAGCGACTGAGTTGTTGGACTACGGAGCAGGCGACTACTGCTGTATGTAAAACATGAGAGAGAGCATAAGAGAGAAATAGAGCGTGAGAGAGAGCGTGAGAGAGAGACAGAGAGGGACACGGAAAGAGAGGGATTTCTGCTCGCGGAAACGCGTGGGTGATGACGTGGATGACAGCACCGATGATGGTTGATTGCGGGGCGTGCGAGGATGACTGCTGATCGATGCGTGCAAACAAATAGGGAGTGAGCGTGCGAGGTGCAGAATGCTGCGCCAAACCGGAGCCCTGACTAATTGGAGCACTGACTGGGAGTTCAGAGCCCGTAAGCACTGGGTGCAGAGGGACCGAAGGCAGCGGCATCGACGTCGGTCGATTGACTTACTTGAAGTGACGGGGAGAGCAAAGAACGAGAGGGCGGACCTGGAAATGCTGGCCTGTGGTGCACCGAGAGAGGAGACCCGCCAGTCCAATTTCAAGTGAAAGAAAAAATGGCGGCCTGTGGTGCGCCCAGAGAGAAACGAATTTCCTGCAATTTCACGGAAAAGACGAAACGAATGAAGTCTACTTCTACGGCCTACAAAGTTTTATTTTGTAGATACAGATTGCAATGATTTTGTGAGCGTGTCAAACTTTCGCGCTGGTTGGGTAGCTGTGGAGGTTGCTTCCCAATATATGTATTTTTTTTTTCTCCCATCATCGGATTCTGTCGTCTGCCCCTGTGGCCCCTATCCTCCACTTCTACTAGCTAGACGACCCAACCGGGGTCACACAGGAGGGGGGGGGCTGGACCCCCTGCTGCGGTTCCTGCCTGAGGTATTTTTTCGCGAAAAGGGTACAACAATCCCTTCCCTCGCGACTTACGAAGTCGATTATGGTTTACTAACAACGAGCTTTGCAACGCGTCGCTTTCATCCTAGACCAGGATTTATTTAGTGAGAAAAAATCTCACTCTGCCGGGACTCGAACCCATGACCTGGCCCTTAGCAGGCTGCAATATGTGCTGGGTCGAAACCAACGGCCGGCAATGTGCAGCGAGACAGTACTTGCCCAACTTTTAACGGAAAAAAGGCTCTAACCATAGCACCATCCTCTTGCTCATTCGTTTGTGATGTCATCAAGTACGAGCGGGTATGGAAACAAGCGTATGCACATCGTATTTTGTACAGCAGTACCCACGCATCACTTTTTGAAGCTCAAATGAACCTCAAACTACTGCTGCCTCTACGCGGAATTTGAATTTCGGATCATGCGACCCCTTTCTCCTTTGAGTTTTCTTGGGGAGTTATGCACAACTTCGCCACGCCCTCAATGAAAGGTGGCAGAAAACGAGTGAATGATGATGTAGACGACTCTAGTACAATGTGCATGTTCTGCAACTACATAGCTTTGCGTGTACGCGGAGCAGCCGTACGACGCAGCTGCATCGCTGTTACGGCGTACTCCAAGCAACAAGGATGTCCCTTGTACCGCTCACCACTAACTGCACACAGACCAACCTTAGGACAATGTCCAGCCGTTCTCCTCTCTACCAATCCTTACCCGGTGAGGTAGCTGAACGGTATGCTGGAGTCGTCCTGCAAGTCGTAGCTGACCGTAACGGACAAGTCGTCGTCAACAAAGTGCGTGTATGTGCCGGACACGCTGCTCAGGAGATCCATAGGGTCGTTGCTCCCAGCGGTAGACCTCCCGGCGTTGGTGGTGCTACAAGAGAGCAAAGCCAGCAGCCCCGCTACTCCCCATCGCCAAAGCACCATATCTTGAATGTTCGGCCCCCCTCCTTGTTTCTATCTTTATTCCCCTGTGTCTCTGCTGCTGCTGCAGGCATGCGGATGGCCTGTCCTGTATCGCTGCTCAAGGCCGCACAGCTGTGTTGAGGGACTCCGTCAAATCAACAAATGGATCAGATGTGCCGAGTGGGGGGTGTTCCTGTTGCACGTGCCCCTCTCGAGGAAGCCGAGAGAGAAGAGGCAACAGCAACGGCAGAGCATAGAGGGAGAGAGGATAGTTGCCTTAGTTTTCACGCTTGTGCATCGCTTGTCTTAGAACACAAGGGACTGAACGAGAGCAATACGGCAGCATGGGGGATCGGTTGGAGGAGAGAAAGGATTTTACTGCAGAGGTGACTGCGAAGCTTCCTGAAGCGAAGAAGCTTGCAGAGGTACGGTGGCACACAGCAGCAGCAGTACCTGCACCGCGACAGGCATTAGTCTGACAGAGACATGGTGCATGGTGGCATTCAGATCCGTAGTTGGCAGTCTCCCCTCACATGTTTTTTTGTTGGGTTTCAGGCGTCCTCCTTGTGTGCAAGCCTGTGCTTTCTCTCCATTCTCGCTCTGTTGTTGGAGGTGCACAACGCGATCAGGCTTAGCATGGATTGCTTGGTGAACCGGCATTGCGGTTGGATGCTTGCAAGATGTTTTTGTCCACTGCAAGATGGCTGTAAGCGCCACGCTTTTCGATTGCAAGCTGATTCTCTGTCTTGCAAGCTAAAAGCTGACGGGACCAGTGCTGTGCCCCTTTCGCAGCTTCGGCGGGCTACCCAAGAGGTCCCAGGTAAGGTAAGGTAGGAGTGATGCCGACACGAACTCGGCCAACCGCCTTGTGAGGGTACAGCAGGAAGTAGGCCGGTAGGTTGGGACGCATTCGCCCGCACACCTTGGTTGAGCACACATTTTACCCAAAGTATGGTAGCAAACCCTAGAATGCTTCGAGCTCTCGAAACTGAATTGCTGCAATACAATACTCACAAGGAGCGGCAAGTACACCACCGCCGTATTCAACGCGGACACGTTAACAAAGCCGGCTGGTCAGCTTGCAGGGCACCAGAAACAGGGGATGCAGCTCTGCCTTTTCTCTTCGAAAGTGTACCGCTGTCGCCATATCGTACTTGCATTGAGCTTGGCGTTCCATACAGAACCCTCAACACAGACCCTTGTGGGGTCATACGAACGCGACGTGATGCAAGCGAGGCGCTTGCCTTTCGTGGGCAGGAAAAACGCCACCAATGGGTGACGGGCAAGAGAGAAGGCAGGGAAACGGCTGCCCTCCGCTCCACCCACATCCACTCACCTCGATGCTGAAGAGGGGCTCCTTCCGCAATGTCTAGCGATGCCTGTCAGTGAGAAGCAATCGTCACGCCTGCACCGTCTTCGTCAGATACGCGCCCACTTTTCCCTCAACACGCTCAACTATCTCACACAAGAAAGCGAACGACAACATACGCTCTGATGCAAACACGCGCAGGGGGGCAAGCTCGCGGATGGTTTGGACATCATCATGAGCCTGGAGCGGCTATGCCGCGTGGGCAACGATTTCCCCAACCTGAAGGAAGTTATTCTGACGGCTTGTCGGCTCTGCCGGCAAGTGGAGGACTGGGCCCAGCTCAACACCACCCTCACGCTCATTTCCAAGAGGAGAGGGCAGCACAGCAAGGCCGTCACGGCCATGGTGCAGGAGGTGGGTTTGGTAGTGGATAGGCAGGAAGAGCAGGGGTCCGGTTCGCTGTCTGCATAGGAGAGAGTGATGCCCTGTTTGCAGTGGAGGGACCGCTTCGTTTGGGAAGAAGTAGGGAGGAGGGGATTACATATGTTGGAAAACGTTTGGTTTTGAGACAGAAACACTTGGCAGGGCAGTCCTCTGTTCTTGGCTGTAATTGAACACAGGCTCCACGTGCTCCTTGCCGAACGTGTCAAGCCCTTCTTTCTTTTTCACGTCCATCGCTTTGCACTTAAGGCTTTTGACGCAGCAGGCGCCACAATCTGTCCACCTGTCGCCGTTTCGAGGAGGTACTGCTGTAATGCTTGGCAAACACGTAGTGGTCCCACCCGGCCCTGTGCAAATTTTATTGTTCGGTCGGCGGATAGACACACGAACGCTGTTGGGCAGGAGATGTATCTCTGCTAGAGTAACGTGATTCGAAAGGTGATCCAGTGTTTGGGCTGTAGGAGCACTGTATGAAGCCATTCGTCGATCTAGACCCCCTGACTGCTGTTGCTTGTGCGTTATAATAGCTGCAACTGACACCATGCAAACTGTCGACGCTCATCAGGCCGTGGGATGGTTGGACGAAACACCGGACAAGGACACTCGCGTGTTGCTGCTGGTAGCGCTAAGGGATATCACGGACGGAAAGATTTACGTGGAGGCCCAGAGAGCAAAGCTGACGAGGATGCTTGCCAAGGTGTGTGAAGTGTGTGATCGAGCTTGTTTCAAGGTATACCGCGGCTTCCGGACACCGGGCAAGCTTCGGGTTCGCTTTACGTCTTCGCCTCCCTATTTAGTACAGTAGGTGTTCAGGGTGCGACAGGACACGTTGGCAGAGAAGAGTCTGTGCTACCAACGAGAGCCGCCAATTAGCAACAGCAGGCAGCAGCAACAATCAGCAGCATCGACAAGGACTGTTCGATAAAATGCTAACTCATTTGACGACTCAGGCAGCGTCCATCAGACTACTCAGGGAGCGCTGACTGAGTAGTCTTATAGATTACCCTTTGTTTATTGACGACTACAAGAGCAACGGAACACACTCTCGTCGTGTTGCTTGCATCGCTGCATCAGATCAAGGAGGAGGACGGGGACGTGGCGGGTGCCGCCGAAGTGTTGCAAGAGGTGCACGTCGAGACCTACGGCGCGCTCACAAAGAAGGAGAAGGCCGACTTCATCCTTGAGCAGGTAAACAGAAACAAAGCGTACGGGTTGCGATGTCGGCTTGCGTAGGCGACGCGCTCTCCGGCTTGCTTCTAGCCGGGATGTCGATTTTGCGTGCAAACGCGGGGTTGTCGTTACGGCCGTGTGTTGGCTTTGCCCTACGAGGGATGTAGTAAGGGAAACACCAAGCTGCCGCAGGTGTACCTTGTTTTTTGCCAGTCGGAGGTATGGTGGTGATGGTTACGAAGCGGTGTCAACGGGCTCAAAAGCCACACCCGCTTGATTATTCACCGTATCTTATGGTGCAAACCCTCTACCTCGTGCAGGATGTTTTTGTTGCATTCCACTGTTTTTGTGCGCTAGCTGTTTTGAGATGTGTTTATCTGCGCACACGACACGATGCCTTGCAGATCCGCCTGACCCTGGCGAAGAAGGATTTCGTGAGGGCCTTGATCCAGAGCCGTAAGATTAACCGCAAAGTTCTTCTCGACGAAGACATGCAAGACATCAAGGTAAAACGGGGGTAGATTCGTGCCAGGGACAGAGACAGCGGGGATGGACAGCCATGCTGCTAGAATCCTGAGGGTAGCCAGAGGAAATATTAGTATGTCAAAAAAAAAAAAATCGTGTTGTTTTAGTAAAGTTTTTTTGGCAAAGCTTTATTGGAACCATCCCCGTTGAGGGCGGCGGCGTAGGCCACCCAGTCGTTCCGCTTGCCTATCTATGTGTCTTCGCCTGGTTCTAGGCTACACCAAAGGGGCGTCGTTGTGCGGATAGGAAGACAGTTGCAGTTGCTGGCACTGCGTGTGCTGGTTTTGCGGAGCGGCTGGTGAATGGGTGTACATCTGTTGCTGCTTGTTTCAGGCAAGCGTCTATGATCCTCTCCCGAAGCAAAAAGTGTGGTGTGTTCGTCGGGGAGTGCGTTTGACCTAGCTGATCGAGTTGGTGCGTGGTCCGCTGCTCTGGATCCCCGTGTTATCGTTCTGGATGCTGTTGCTTTGGCGTCGTCTCACCGTGCTTCTAAACGCCCCGTCTCGGTTCTTGGATGACTCATGCAACGGAAGGGGTGCACGAGTCCCTTCTGAGCCTCAAACGCGAGGCGCTCCATATCTGAGCCTGAAATGGACATTGACACAGTATGAAAATATGACGATAGGTAATCCCTACCGCTGCATGACTCTCGGCCAGGTTCGGTTCTACAAGTTGATGATCGAGTACGACACCCACGAGAAGGCTACCTTCGATCTCTGCCAGGTGGGTGAAGCTGCCAGTTGATGATATGTTGCACGTTGAGACTGTACGCTTTGGCGAAGGCACACCATCGCTACGTTTCATGCAGCCAGCATCATGCCACACACCAACGGTGTAGCATTGGAGTACCGTCTCCTTCATTGTCCGGCGCCCATCATTTCACGCGAGACCTGTCGCCATGTCGCGCCATTCACTAAAATGTGCCGTGATCAGGAGCGTACCATGACATGCTACCGGCTCTCATGCTTCAAAACAACTTGCTTGTTGGACCTACGTACCCCCCAGGACTTCCACTCGATCTACGACACCCCCTTGGTGCGAGACAAGGAGGGGCAGGAATGGAAGCAGTATCTCCAGGCAGCCGTGTTGTTCCTGGTCCTGTCGCCGAACGACAACCACCAGCAGGACATGCTGTTCCGAGTCGCCGAGTACAAGAAGCTGGAGGAGCTGCCAGCCTACAAGGTGAGTAGTGACCCATGCCCTTCCATAGCTGGCGAACCCTGTAAGATGCATGATAGCGGCTGCGCCGCCGTTTCACAGCAGTGTAGTTTAATATTCAGAGTTGCAGGCGTACAATATCATCCGGTTTATGTGCCCTACCGTGTTGATTTCGCCGCACCCCAACATCATCATTTATTCCGCGGTACCCCCCCGGCAGATGCTGGTGAAGCTCTTCACCACCCCTGAGATCATCGGGTACCCCGTCGAGAACCAGGAAGTGCTTGAATCGGATCCGTGCCTCGCCGCAGGCGGGCCGGAACTACTCGCAAAGTGAGCCTTGGAAAAATGTACAGTTCTTGCCCGTAGCGTCGAAAGTCATCAAGTATGAAGTATCACGGTCATCCGGGAATAATCCTCACGAGCCACCGCGGTATTGTTCTTGAGGCGTGATCGTCTTTTGTTTTCGTGCGCAACAGTGTGGAGATGAAGACGTATGAAACTTGTCAACACTCAAGGCAAGAAGGCGACTCGATCTAGATATCTCCCGCGGTTGCTCCGGAAGCGTTGGCATGTGTCTGCCGGCGACGTATGTAATGTAGTTCATCTCGCCGCTGCTGCCACGTGCCGTATTGTATCGTTTTTTTTTTCCGTTTGTTGTTTTATGCGCCTGGTTGTTGCTGGTGTTTTAGTCCCTCCCCCCCCCCCCCCCCTGGTGTTTGCCATCGGGGTTGGGTTTTCGTCGCTTGGCAACGACGTTGTAAAACAAGCCAATTCACTTCGTGAACTCGGCAACCAGGTTACCGGTTTTTTTTTTTTGGCGGTAACCTTACTGGTGGTCGAGTAGATATGTTGTGCGGGGTCGAGAACCCTCACTCCGCGCAAGGGGGATGATCGCACCACGTTGTGTTAAAATGGTCAAGCACCCTCGAGGCAGTTACACAGTGCTTACAACTGTCTCTGGAAGTGAAAGCACCAGAAAATAAATTAATTCATACGCAGCTGTCATCCGTACGCAAGGAAGTAAGCACAAGATGCCGAACACCCTTAGCAGGATGCAGCGCACCCTTCATGCGACTCGCCGAATATCTCACGGCGCTTCGCGCTTGGTGATGTGAGAGCCTGGTCCGGTGAGAACCCGGCGTGCTCCGTCCCGGCTTTGTAGGGATGCGAGGTCAATGGTCTAACGACCTAACGACTACGGCATGCACGACAATGAGTACACCCCCCCCCCCTCCTACATTTTCTCTGTTCATTGCAGCTTCGCTCAGTTTTTCGTTTTTTGTGTCATGTGTGTGTGCGTGGGTTATCAAGGGATACGCGTATTGGCGTTCCATCTTAGACCTCCACGACACTACATACCAGATAGGAACGACGGCAAGAGCATCAACCCCCCTGTTCGCAACAATCCAGAAGTACTTCAAAGTTTGAAAATTGTAAGTTTGAAAATTTGCGTGCGACGTGGAAAACGTAGTTGACCCTTGTAAAAACCCACCCATCAGGTGGAAGGAGGATCTGAAGCTCCGCATCGTACAGCACAACATCCGCACAGTGGCGTCGTACTACAAGCAGATTAACACGAAGAGGCTGGCGGACTTGCTGGGTTTGGACGAGAATCAGGCGGAGCGGAAAGTTGCAGGTACCGGTACACATGCCGTTACATGGGCGTCCTGAGCAGGGGAAATCACGCCTCGTGTAGACATCTCGATAAGAGGATGAAAAATATCGAAAATTGAATCTCTTGATGATACGCTTGCCTCCTGCCCAATGCTGGTTAGTTTCGTGATTCTCTTGAGGTTGAAAGGCCAATGTATGCTACGCCGTTCTTGTATATGTGCGGGGGGCATCTGTTTTTGTTCAAGACTTGGATATTTTTTCTCTGTTCCATAAGTGATACTCCGGTTGCCCCCATGACACTTGCCGCCTCTTTGTCCTGTTTGCTCCGTTACTCCCATGGCCTGGTTCTTAGTGCCTGGTGCTGGTACGTTACCCTTTGATTTTTTCTTTAGGCGGGTGTGGGAAGCGGCCTCCTTTATTTTTGTTTTTGTTTTATTTTGATCGGTTTCCGAGGGCTCTTTTCTCGAACGGTCGGTGCGGCACCTGTTCTTTTCTTTCCACCTTTTGGTGTTTTTCTTTTCGGAGTGGTTTGTATCCTATTTTTTTTTTTTGTTTCCCCGCGGCGTCGTATGTGCCGGGTTTTGAGACCACGGGCTCCCCATTTTTTGTGGACTATAGAGCTAATGTGAGAAACAACAACAACAACTTGCACCCACCAAAGTATTGCGACCACCGGCACCCGTCTGTATTTGAAGCACCATTTCTGTACGTTCATGTTGATGCTTCGTTTGTCAGCGCTCTCGAAAAGCAACACTGCATCGCGCCGATGTGTGTACATAAGCGTAGAGACCACGAGTAGTCACCTCGTGCATCTTTTCAGCTACAGAGGGTGTGTTCTTGACTTGACTTTGTCACCACGCCGTGCACGTACTTTCGCTTCATGCGTAAGCTGTTGATATTGGCGGGAGCGGAAACTCACGGACGCGTGAGGTGTACTTGTGAGGCGCCCTTTTACGCAAGAAGGCCGGGTAGAGACGTGGAAGGCACATTGTCCACACGCACCCAGAAGTGTTTTGTCATTTTTCCTCGCTTTAAGGCAGGACGACCGGCGAATGGCGTGGTGTTGGTCTTGCGCAACCGTCATGTTCGTGCTCGCTGTCATGTATCCTCGAAAAGATCTAATCTGGCAACAACGCCTTGTTCCGATCTCGTCTTCAGCAGCACAACAATGCGTCGTGAACGACAGTCTGTTGAGAACGTGTGGGAGCGACCCTCCCTCAATACCTGCCCCTTCCTACCCTCTTCCCGCAACCCCCATGCCGACCCCCTCCCCCCGCCTCCCGCCTCCGTAGACGCGCTTGTTGAGTCCGATACTTAGTGGTAGACAGTAAGATCTACGGGTCGCAAGTTCCTCAACCCCCCCCTACTCCCCCGCCCCCTGTCTCTTCCGCGGTGGTTACTTTCAAACCGTTGAATAGACATGGTGAGCGACGGGTCGTTAGCGTACGCCAAGATCGACCGGCCGAAGGGCGTAATCAACTTCGACAAGAGAAAGCCATCGGAAGAGGTGAGGGTGTACCTTTGTTTTCGACGTATTTAGGCTTGTTTTTGGTCGAATTGGTGGTTTTGTTTGTGTGAAAGGGACCAACGGGGGTGACTCACCCATCCTTGACTGTGGGAAGCGCGGGAGTCAATCGCGTCTCTTGACGTGTTGCTACCATGGCGTCTGTGCTTCTCGTTTTCTCCTCCAGCAGAGAGCGAATTATCTCTGCGCTTTGGTTTTTTCTTGTGTGTGTTCTTGCTTTCGCAGGTTTGGCTCCTGCAGAATAAAAGCAAGAGCCTCACGATATTGGTATATCCTATCCGTTTGGCTTGTGTAGAACGAGTGGAAGAGCCTCAATTATATTAAGATATCCGTGTATCATTGGCGTTTGACTTGTACAGCATAAATGGAAGAGCGTCAAAGTTGTCCGTTTGGCCTTTGTCGCATACCCTTCGAAATTTGTAACATATCCGTAGAAAACATTGAAGAGCCTCAGAATAACCGGTGTTCATGCCGCATGAGGTGCTTCCTGATGCCCGCAGCCGTTACCGTGTTGGCGATGGAATCGTGGCCGGGTTTCAGTGCAAGGGAACAGGGAGCATGCCCTACGTCATTTTGTTTTTCCCTTCCCCCCGGTTCCCTCCCGTTTTGAGCAGATTCTTTCCGAGTGGAACTCCGACATCGGTCAACTTCTCCAGCTGGTGGAGCGCAGCTGTCACCTTATTAACAAGGAGAACATGTTGCACAAAATCGAGTGAATGGAGGGTGGGGGGGNGGGGGGGGGGGGGGGGGGGGGGGGGGGGGGGGGGGGGGGGGGGGGGGGGGGGGGGGGGGGGGGGGGGGGGGGGGGGGGGGGGGGGGGGGGGGGGGGGCGAAACGTAGCTGTCCGCTTCGTGAACAGGGCGAAAACGTTGTTGGCGCAATGCGGACGAATAGGGTACATTCATGAACCGGGCTACAGCCCCGATATCCACGGTAGAATCACCACCGCATCTGCACGCATGTTGTGTTGGGTATGGCGATGGCCTTCATGGGCACACCATGGCGAGGAACGCGTTGCGCTCTCAGTCAGAGGTGCGGTGGTGCGCTGTGCTTTTGGTCGAGGCATGCGCCGCTCCCCTTCCGTGGCAATTATCCACCAAGTCTTCGCGCTGCGCTCTCTCTAATCGTTTTCGTTTCACTCTCTGCACCTCGTGTGCTCACCGCTTAGCTGCCATCAAGCGGGCGCGCTCATGGGCACGGTGTTTGCTGCCGTGGGTAGGCGTTAGCATCTTGGCAATGCATGTGCGTAGGTGGAGAACGCGAAAAGAACGAGTCTGTGACCAGCCAGAGAGAGACCGATTAGCCAGTGCCGAGGCCGGATAGTGATGGTATGCATGTGTAGCATCATCGGGGTTGAGAGTCTCGCGTGCCGTGGCGGCTTGGCGGGCTTTATTGCAAGCGCAACGAGTGAACCCGCGAGCGAAATTCAGGTTGTGTTCATGGTGCGTCCGTTTGTCGTACAACGGCCATGCCTTACCATTCTACTCCTGGCTTGTCCACAGGGCGTTCATCCCTCAAGATTTCCTCAGCCTACATCAGAGGGAAACACGAAAACAAATCACAACGGGGGTCATATATTTGTGCCCTGGGCGGAAGGCGGTGTGGGCTTTTGACGACCTACCAGTAATCTGCACATGACCGTTTATACGGCGACCTCTGCTCTCGTCCTCGTCGGTTGGTTGCTGTACTGTGATTGGTTCCCTTGCTCAAGATGTCTAGCCAATAGGCGACGTGCGAAGACGGGGCAACCTGGAAACAAAGCCGAAGGGATCGCATCACATGAATCCTGAGAAAAGCAAATGTCCCAACTCAATGATGCATGTACCTGTTTTTGTTTTATTTGCTGCATCTTGAGTGTTGACATGTCGTGGAGGGTCGATTTCTCTTGTCTCATCTTTGTGCGTGAATCCCATCCTTCACGGAGCAACACACCTCTTCGGCGCTGTATTTTCTGGACGAATGTACCAGCTTGCTGCAGCAACGTACACATGGATTCGTTGTTTGTTGTGGTCTCCATTTGCGTACACACCGCTTCTCCGTCGTCGCATGCTCTTCTCCGGATATCTTTCGAAGGTAAACGTCACAGGTTGACTGTGCGTGTTAGCAAAAACATGTTTGTGTTGTGCGTGTTCTTGCCCCGTCTATTCTGGCGCCAGCGCACATACCCTGGCAATTTGACGCACAGTATTGGCCGGGGTCGGGGGCAGGCTCACCAGTCGCTCATCGGACAAATGTTCTTTATCGTATCCCATGTTTCCTCCCGCGGTTCTTGTCCGTAGTCTTCATCGTGAGAAGGGTTCAGACGTCAAATGGAATCATGTGCTACTTGCGAAACAATTGTTTTCCACCGCAAATTGTTTCTTTTTTTTCACTTCAGAGAGAATCGAACTCGCAACCTACTGCCAGTGGAACTACGGGCATAGCCGCTCCAGGACTAGACGACCGGCGCGACCGGTACAAATCGAAAAATGTCCAAAGCAGAAGCCCGTTGGAACCGCCGGGATCTATTATCTAGTTCTCCCCGCTTCATGTTTTTTTTTACTTGCTGAACGGACGACGTCTTCGTCTTGTGGACCTCAATCCGATCCAAGCTCCCAGCCATCCCCAACCTGATCTCCTCGAGAGCAAATAAAAGTGGACATCACATCACCATTTTATACTTTCTCGTCCTTACGGTGTCAACTTTGAATCAAGTCAATCTTAAATCTTCTGCCCTTAAAAACCTGCCCCAATATCGTTCGCGAAACGTTGTGGCATGCTTCTTGAAACGTCAGATAACGAAAAGTTGATAAGAGAGAAACCACAAAAGCGAGTCACTTTCCATGTCGCATCATCCACCGCATTTTTATATTTCAAATGCATAAAATAGGGAAATGACGAAAACACATGAAAGTCGGCACGGACCTTCCCTCCATCGACATGTCGGGATTTATCGAAACACCGCTGCATGAAGAGGATCCGCATGTACAGCCAACTTGAGACAAACACCAAGAAAGAGTTGACAAACATTCCGTCCCAATGAATATTTGCTTACATTGAAGCTTTAGGCGTACAAGAGGAGAGAGAAGCCCCCCCCCCCCCCCCCCCCCC